CCCCACCCCCTCCCTCCGGAGCGGCCCGGCGTCCAGCACCGATGCTCCAGGTCTTAACCAAGCATGCACTACCTAAGTAGAATCATTCTATGGGGGGGAGTGGGAGAGGACCACACATCGGGGAGAGGCGGCCGTGGTTCCAAAGGGTGGGAAGGAAGAAAGAAAATCACCCAATCCGCCCACCTGGTTTTGAGGGTCACTGGGCGCGCTCCCCTCCCAGCACAAACTTGCCCCCACAGCACCCTCTGGTGGATGCGCTGTCCCGTCGCTTGGAGGTTCCCCATCCAAGGACCCCAACATTAGGAAGCTGAGCATTTGTAGGGGGAAGTTAGCTAATGACCCCCAAAATCAGGAATCTTAAATTGCGTGGAGACCAGCTGTTAGCAGTGTCCTCCCTAGGTCACTTATGAGTCCCGGTTTTCCTGACCTTAGATTAGAACTACCTATTTTGGGCCTAGGCCAAAATATAATAGAATGATGCAGCTAGACGTGGTGTTGGAAATCCCTTGTCCGAGGCCGACTCCTAATTTATTTACCATGTATTTTGACACAGAACCATGAGGCAAGGACACAATGAGGACTCAGTAAATATTAATTGACCAAATTACATTTTGCAACAGAGACTCACTTCTCTGCTTCCAATTTGTCTTTCTCATACATTCACATTCAGTCATTCACTGAATATATTTCAAGTCTTTGGTGCTGATATGAGCATCACCCAGTCCCTACCCTGACTTCCTCTGCCATTCTCAAGTGTCCCCAGGTACTTCCAAAGATGGGGGGTTTGGGGATGGAGAGAGAGAGAGAAAGAGAAAGGGCTAGCTGGCCAGTCACAGATAGTGGTCATTCCGGTCCAAATGAGTGATCTGAAGAAAAAATAAAAGATACTCATATAACTTCAGAATGACCATTTTACACCCACATAGCTGGCAGTTGCTGAAAAAGATTAAACAAGGCCAGTGCGGTGGCGCAAGCCCTTGATCCTAGCACTCAGGAGGCAGAGGCAGGCAGATATCTAGGAACTCAATGCCAGCCTTGGTCTCAGGCCACCCAGGGCCACATAGTGAGACCCTTGACTCAAAGGGAGGAAAAAGAGATTAAGCATAGAGTTACAATGTGAAAACATATATCCACAAAAAAGACCTTATTCTTCTCACTCATGAAGGTGTATAGCAGCATTATTTGATTGTGTGTATGTGTGTGTATGTATGTTCATGTGTTCATATGTGACCAGAGGTAGACATGAGGTATCTTCCTCAGTCTATTCTCCATCTTGTTTTTGTTTTGAGACAAGGTCTCTCTGTAACCCCAGGTAGCCTGGAACTTGCTCTGTAAACCAGGTTGACCTCAATCTCACAGAGATCCGCCTGCCTTTTCTTTTTTAATTTTATGTTTATGAGTGTATTGCCTACATGTGTGTAAGTGCACCCATGTCACGAGATGCCTGAAGAGGTCAGAAGAAGACGTCAGATCCCCTGGAACTGGAGTTATGGACAGTTGTTAGGTGCCATGCGGGTGCTGGGAATCAAACCTGGGTCCTCTGCAAGAGCAGCCAGTGCTCTTAACCACTGAGCCACCTCTCCAGCCTCATCCATCTTGTTTCTTGGGATAGACTTTCTCATTGAACCTGGAGTTACCAACTGACTAGACAAGCTGGCCAGTAAGCCCCAGGGATCCTCTCACCTCTGCCTCCCCAGAACTGGGTTTACAGGTGCATGGAGCTGTTTCTAGCTTTTTACTTGGGTGCTAAGGATCCGAATTTAGGTCTTGATGCTTACATCGTGACTACTTTACTGACTGAGCGACCCTCTAGCTCCCCCCAGCCTTTTTTAAAAGACAGGATCTGGGTCTTACATAGCCCAGGCTGGCCTTGAATTCACTGTATAGCCCCCAAGGATGACCTTGAACTTCTGATCCTCTTGCCTTTATCTCCTAAATGCTAGGATTATAGGCTTTTACCATTACACTGTGCTGCAGCATTATTTGAAATAGCCCAAAAGTAGAAACAACCCAAATATCCATGAATAGATAAACAAATTAAAGAAATAATGGTACCCACAAAATGGACTCATATTCAGTCATAAAAAGGCATAAAATATTGATAGATGTTACAACATGAATGAACCTTGGAAACACCATGGTAAGCAGAAGTCATTCATTAAAGAACTACATATTGGCCAGCCATGATGACACACACACTAGCACTTGGAAGGCAGAGGCAGGCAGGTCTCTGATCATTTGAGGCCTGTCTGGTCTTTATAGTGAGTTCTAGGCCAACTAGGGATGCATAGTGAGACCTTGTCTAAACACACACATGCACGCACACAAACACACACACACACACACACACACACCACACACACATACACACACACACACACACACACGCACTGAGGCATTGAAGAGGAGGAGGAGGAGGAGGAGTAATACCGTATGATAAACAAATCTAGAACAGTGCTTGGCATGTGGTAAGCTATCAATAAATATTTGCTGTATGAAGGTATGGATGGATGATTAAATATCATTAGAGAGCACAGCACTGAATGAGAAGCAGGTACGGAGCTGGAGAGATAACCCGGTGGTTAGAAGCACTTGCTATTGCAGGGGACCCAGGCTCTTTCCCAGAACCCACATCAGGCCACTCACAACCACCTGTAACTCCAGCACTAGGGGACACACTCTTGGTATACAAACATATACTTAGGTGCACATGCATAAAGTAAAATGAATAATCTTTTTAAAAGGCAACCAGTAGAAACATAATGATTCTATGTGGAGACATGAAAGATGAGTTAAGGGGTTGGGGATGTAGCTATTGCAGGGGACCCAGGCTCTTTCCCAGAACCCACATCAGGCCACTTACAACCACCTGTAACTCCAGCACTAGGGGACACACTCTTGGTATACAAACATATACTTAGGTGCACATGCATAAAGTAAAATGAATAATCTTTTTAAAAGGCAACCAGTAGAAACATAATGATTCTATGTGGAGACATGAAAGATGAGTTAAGGGGTTGGGGATGTAGCTTAGTTGGTAGAGTGCTTGCCTAGCATGCACAAAGCCCTGGGTTCAATCCCCAGCACTGAATAAACCAGGCATGGTGATGCATGCCTATAATCTCAGCACTCAGAAAGTGTGGATCAAGAGTTTAAGGTCATTCTCAGTTACATAAGTTTGAGGCCAGCCTAGGATACATGAGAACATGTCTGAGAGGGAGGGAGGGAGGGAGGGAGGGAGAGAGGGAGAGAGATAGATGGGCTAGAGCCAAAGATATATTTGGTCATCAGATCAGTGGAAAGGATCCTGGAGCTATCGTAGGAAGCATGAATCATTTCTTAAGAGGAACTTGGGAAGATTTATCAATACATTATCCTGAATAATAATACAAGTAATGAAGGTATGGCAGAGTTAATGCAAAGTTCTTTAAGTGAATTTTACATTTAATTCTCCTAACAGTGGTAGGAGGGAGGGGCTAGCCCAAAGCTCAAAGAAATTGAGAAACTTGTTCCCTTCCTATTAAGAAATTTCCAGAGCTGGAGAGCTGGCTCAGCAGTTAAGACCACTGACTGCTCTTGCAGAGGACCTGGGTGGGTTCAGTTCCCAGACCCAGATTTGGTTCCCAGCACCTACACAGCAGGTGACAACCAACCTTGACTCCAGTTCCCGGGGATCTGATGCCCTCTTCTGGCTTCTTTGGGCATTGAACACACATGGTGCACTTACATACATACAGGCAAAACATTCATACATAAACATCAATAAAAAATTTTTTAAAAATTAAGAAATTTTCCTCTTCTTCAACTAAATTTCTATGTGTCTGTGGCATATATATACAGATGTTTATGCATACTTACATCCACATATAAATTGGACAGATACACATAACAACATAGTGGACCCCTTGAGAGAGAGGCAGTGGGAGCTTGAGAGTTGGGTGACAAAGGAGAAATATTTTTTGCCACATAAATTCTTTTTTTTTTTGGTCTTTTTGAGACAGGGTTTCCCTGTAGCCCCAGCTGGCCTAGAACTCACTATGTGGACCAGGCTGGCCTCAAATTTACAGAGCTCTACCTGCCTCTGCCTCCCAAGTGCTAGGGTTAAAAGCATGCACCACCATACCCAGTTTCTTTTAGTTTTTTAGTATATGTGTCATGTAAACTTTTTATTTTTATTTTTGAGACAGGTTCTCACTAAGAAGTCCCCCAGGCTAGCCTTGAGCTTTCAATTCTCCTACCTCTGCCTCCCGAGTGCCAAAATTATAAGTGTGTACCACTACGACCACTGTGCCTTGTAAATTTACCTGGCTATATATACAGATAAAAGGCATGCCACACATACATTAGCAGGCCATATAGCCGGTAGGATCAGAGCTGAGCGTCTAAGCTGTACAGAGAATATGCTCATTGTAGAATCTCTGGGCACCAATTTTGTTTGCTGTGTATCCTTTTAAACAGGATGACAAAGATCAAGATTGTTTCAAGCTCTATTTCTTTTTTGCAAATTAGCCATTTGGCCTCAAGTTTCATATGCTAGCCTACTG